ACCGTAAAAACATATACAGTGGGTGAGTATACAACCTTAAATTACGTAGACGTAATTTAATAAGTGCGTGATACACACAAATAACCAAGACACCAAGTTGTAGGATAGAATAAACTACCTATGTTGCAAAGGTTACCACCATTTTTATGACTTTTCACCCAAACTTTTTTTAAATTTATGAGTAGCTTGCATTGACTTAAATAATTGTTCAGTTATGCCCATGTTACGCTTACAGAACTGTCTTATAAAGCCAGTTAAGTACTTTGATAATAAATTTAAGTTTTGGCTATCTAATTGGAAAGTGTCTGAAATGAACGCAAATCCTTACTCACTGGTCAGTCATGTTCCTAGCTACAGCAGGGTGTACTTGGTGGATCAGACATCAACCATGCTGCACAGGGTTCACTGACAGACTGAAGGCGAGGCGCGACGCGGCGCTTCGTCAGCTGTTCTGTTGGAGGGCATTGTTGCGACGCCCGCACGCGCATGCGTCGCCGTTTCCAGCTGGCTCCAAGGTCATAAACATCACTTTGAATAACCCACTCCACTCTTAACCCAACTAACCCCGTCTTTGATCTCGTATGTTAGCTTGAATACATTATGCAATGCTTAAACTGCCCCAATGTCAACCAATAAATCAATTAGTTTTATCCTTAAACTATCATGCCTTGGCGCGTGGTCTGCCTCGTCCCAAGTGTGGCAGTAATAGTTTGTACGTGGTCAGTGTAAGTAAACATACTGGCATGTTCCCACAGGAAAAATTAACTTGTAAATAGTCTATTGCAACAACACACCTAAATGTAACATAAATATAGAGATGTTTTGTATGTTACCTTGTTGATGAGCTAGTCATTTGACCCAGTTCAGCCCTTGATGTTTTGAGGAAATAGTTCACAGAAAAACATACGTAGCCCACACATTTCACAGAAATCTAATGTAAACGAGGTTAGGTTATGTTTATTTTGATTGGGTTTAAAGTTGTCAAACACATCTGAGAAGGTTTCCAGCTGGAATAATGAATTTGAAAAGGCATAACTAAATCTGACGACTGATTTTCCAGATGGTTATTTTCTAAAATATGAATAAACAGGCCTACAGCTTGTATAAATCGCATCCCTATGTCATTAAATTGTTAACTTTTAACATTTAATTTGAAATAAATTATTCTCAGATCTTAAATTACGAAGTCTTTGCTTGCAGAGTCGAACAATCCACAATCTCTCTAGTCATCTCTCTAGAAATCCAAGACATCCAATACTATGCCACTCTTAAAAAGAAATCCAATATCGTGGATCCAATACTACTACAGTATCAGCAATCTCACTTTACTGCTATCAACACGATTATTTATCTGTGCTATAAAGACAGATAAATTGGTATTTATTTGAAAGTTCTAACAACACGCTGCTCCACAGAATGACAATTTCAATGAGTTTGTGTCGCAAATAGGTTCTCATCAGAGTAATTAGCAAGGCCAAGTGGCAGCTGTCGCATGTCGCAATGTGGCCAATGTTAACCGTCAGCAGATGTGGCCTGTCTGCTCACTCATACACTACTAATCTCCTCGATGTCACGTAGAGATTATACCTTCTGGGACATCCACATTTCTTCTGTACCCTCGGCCGGTTATGTTGTGTTTATTTATTTCCCGGCGGGTTAAACTGTTTACTCCAGTTTACAAAAGAGCATAAAATATAACTAAGCTAATTAAAATTACTACATAGAAAACAATACGAATAATATCTATAATAACTAAGTAACACAAAAAATAACATTGACTAGAATGACAAGAAGAGTAAAATAAATTTAATAACAATCTTAGACTAATTTTCCTAGCTTAGGCAACACTTAATACGACGGATAGTGGAAAGACCACAAAGAAAAGCGGAGCTTTGAATAACTTTAGTAATACCCAAGTTGACTTCAGAGCAAACATTCGAATGGGGAACATCTCGCGTTGTTGTTTAAACCCTCTCTACTTGGCATTATAAGACATCAAGTAAACGTATACGTCAAGTATACGATACGAGAGTGCTACGAATTTACTTTCTTCTAGGAATTTACTATAAAAGGAAGTCGAATCTGTTAGTACAATGAAATTAATATATTACTAGCAGCCAGCGTCACTTCGTGACACAACCGTGATTATATTTCAATTAATTTACAATTTTCTATTGCTCTGAATTAGGTTAAAAATTATCTATATTTTACGTGATAATCATTACCTTATCACTGACTTGTAATTTTTTCAAGAAAACCCTAAACATAACTTTGTAATTAGTTTTTCCAAATACTAATGAAACATACTATGACAATACAAAATCGAACGTAAGTCATTTCTTTAAGACAGTCTTCTTTACATTTTAAACAAATAACATTACAATATTTTACTTGAATTCACTAAAACATCAGTAACACGTACTGTGGAATCACAAAATCCTATCAAAACACAAAATCTAATGTAAGTAATTTCTTCCTTACGTTTTATACAAATAAAATTACAATATTTTACTTGAATTCAACCAACTAACTGTAACGATAGCCTAATTTCCATATGGAAGTAAACAAAAATGTACCATGACCATCTGTTTTGATATAAACAAATGTAAGCTTGAAAAAGTTAAGATGATGGACAACAGAATTCAGCACAAACTCTGAAATTTTAAAACCCTATAGGACGAAGGGCTTTTACGGGATATCATCCAAACCCGCAAAATGCTAGAGGATAAGAATTTTAAATTGATACCCAATATACCTATAGAAATTATAGGGGTCGATTTGCTGAATACATAAAAAAAATTCTTTTAATAATATATATGGTAGTAAATAATCTTTTTAATCTAATGGGATTAGCTATAGGTGTTTGTCGCCACATTCGGAAAAGCAATTCACTAAACTCACCTCAAGATGTAAAATGTTAAGAAGAATAAAAAATGCAAAGAGCCAATGTTACTTACACAATTCTAGCCAAAACCATAGTAGTAACTGCGATGCTACACTGCTATGTTGAAGTTAAACCCCTGAAATTGATGAACTGCAATATGAGTGCAGCACCCTTATTGCCTACTTGGCAGAATGAAGGCGACGTGACGCGATGAGACGCACAGAGGGGATTGAAGTAAAATCAACTTAATATATTCAACGATAAAACATTGCGTCTACTTATAACGAGCAAGATAAGATGAATAAATACGGAGTAACATTTGGTTCTGTGTATTACCATTGATTATTTGTGATTTATAATGCACTACATAATGTGCATGTAAAACGAACGAAAAATTTTTCCAAATTGGGATAACGGGCAATAGTTTTGCGTATTTGCTCAGTTTTGTAGCTATCCATTAAAGCATTTAAAGAAATATCACAACATTTTAATCCCTTGAATGAACTAAATCGTATTTATTTTAAAATGGGTGAAATGACCAAGCTGTTTTATTGGAACCTAGCTTGTTATGTACGTACAGTAATTTTAATTACACGTTTTAAAAAGTTGGAGTGTAACCCCTCTACGTTATCGTAATTTGGTCTGTGCTGTCATAGATTAAACACGCCTTTTAAGATTAGTTAAGTTTATTGAGCCCTTAAAGATTAGGGTTAAAGGGTTGTGAGATGAATCCGTCCGGTTGAAACGGGTGACATGGTGTTGATTGTAATTCATTCCTTATTATTTTACCAATTTTAAATTGTAATAAAAAACCACTTCGATTTAAAGTTGTAATGTATTTGTAAACTATCGGTTGTCCTCTTTACCAACACCAAAGAGTAAAGTACACCTCGTAAAATCCACACGAAAAGAGGAATATTTAGTTGAAATAAGCGCATTTAAACTTTACTAATATTAAACACACATTCAAACAGGCTTCATTATTAATTTTCAATAGGATGAAAACTCTAATGGGGTGTTCTAAGTAAATGGCATTGTTTATTACAGTATAATTAAGTATTACTTCAATCCAAAAAAATGTAGAACATCATCATCATATTCATAATCATCATCATTAACATCAACATGATCAATATAAATACTATTAGTCTACATAAAAGTTAGGGGAGCGAGCTGGTCTAGTGGTAAAGTGCGGGGCTTCATTGGCGTAGGCCCCGGTTTCAAATCCCGCCAATCACCAATGGATTTTATCAATGTGATAATGCCGCAACCCTTATTAATGTGTATGTACTAGCCTGAAGTAATGTGTAAAAGATTTCCGGGTAGAAATAGCGGGTAGAAAAAGTAAAGGGAAATTTAAAACTTTTAAAAACGATTCCTCGGATATTTGTGGGGCAGGGTGTCAACATGTCCTGGCACATTCTCTTCTCAGATACTAATAGATGCAATTGTCGAAAATAGGTCTTTGACTGATTTATAGATGCTCTCTAAGTGATATTTCTTTGGAAAATTCAGTTAAGACATCGTCTTGTGCACCTCAAAAATGTCTCATATTATTCTTAAGGTACGGTTCCATTACCCAAACTCTCTTTGGCACATGTTACCGGATATGTGCCTGTGACAAATACCACAACTGTTCCTACTTGGGGGCATAACACAAAACACATGTCCTTATGTTATTTTCAAGGTTTTGTTAAAATGGAAACTTGGCACGTAGTATTAAAATTGAATTTGATATTCAAACAAAGTTGAAACACACATGATTGTTTTCTATCTCTGTCTTTATAAGTTAAGACATATATTTAGGCAAAGTTAATTAATGTCCATATCATTTATAGCCAATGTATAAAATTAGCAGATTGTTATAAAAGAATTTTAAGAAAAATCACAACACCACCACCATGCAAGTTAAATTTAATTATATTTGAGTGATTTATCGATGAGTTTCCAATATCACCAGATTCATTCCATAGCTTATTGTAGTCAGGGATGGCTGGTAATTTACAAGTTATCAAATTCTCAGAATATTCCATTTCCTTACACCCGGATCGTGTACAAATATTTTCCTTGATAAACCTGCAAAAGCGAAGCGAAACAATTGAATAGATAATATTACCTGTTGTTACAAAAGAAATCCAGAAAAAACATGGTGAGACTAAGCTTTTCCCGGCGTTAAACGATTCCAACAATCCCGGCGTCAACAACTAATGTTTATTCAACAAGTGCTAAAGAAGTACTGAAGTGAAGCGCTTCTCTCTGCCAATGTGCAGATGGAGTATTTGTGTCTGGGAGTTATCTATACTCTTGATTTCGTTGACAATGACAGTTGATAAAAGCAACATTGACACACTTTAGTCAGAACCTGTCTAGAGTTGATTGTTGAAGTGCACTCATTGACTGCGACTGTAGTGTACAGTGTTCATGCGTTGAATATAATACACTCCGACCAGCATTGGCAGCGGAATGCGGTAAACCATCGACAAAGTACCTGGAATTACAAGGACGCAGAAGTAATAGCTATAGTATTTGTATTCGACTTACTTTCCATTTAGAAATCTCAACACAAATTGCATCTTATTATGGGTTAACACAGCTAAAAGATTTTATTTTAATATAAGTAGGTAGTATGAAGTAGGCTAGGCAAGGTAAACACTGTTCTAGCTGATAGAAGCATAGGGATCAACAAGAGTCTTTTGATCTCAGTTTAAAAACCCGTAAAGGGACCAGTTAATTGTTGCTGCGACTTAGTAAATCAAGCGCCTTAACTTCGAGATCGTCATATTTCGATTAAAATGCATTCGGTTGTATTAAATGAACCGAAGTTATGCATGTCCAACAGCTGGTTGTTTCAAGAGACAAGCTGAAAGAAACATTAAAGGTTATTAAGACAGAGTAACGCAAATTTTACTTTAGCTTTTCTTTAAACCTAAGTTTTTTGGCAGTAGCCTATGACGAAAAATATACATGGTGTTTCAAAAAGAATCATCTGATTTCTTAGGTTTATAATTTTACAAATAAGTTTACAAAAATCATATAGATATGAGGTAAATTTTATATTAAAGAGTAACTAATAAAGTTTTTAACATGCCATTTACAGGTGCACAATATGACCCATTTTAGACGCACAGCATATGTGCAACTTGCAATAAAAATTTACTTACGTAGACAAAAGTTGTGAAAACAATTGAAAATGTGAAAATAAATGCGTATTTTCAAAAGTAGTGCGTTTTTTAGGGGCGAAGGAGTATGATTATCAGAAAATGCTTATGATGGTTTTGTAGAAAATTTAATTCCTGACTCCAAATGTCTAAGAGCTCTTACAGTTTTTGAGTTATAGCCGTTATAAAAAACGTGTTTTACCGTTTTAGATGTCTACCAATTTGGATTTTTGGGGGGATTAAAATTTGAAAATGGGACTTTTGGAAATTTTCTGGATAATCCAAGGGGACGTTACACACCCTTTTAAAATTGCAGGTCTCTGCTATTCCCACATTCAATGCAATAGCATTGAATGTGGGAATGATACAAGAACATCATAAGGGAAATTCGAAATTTCGGGGCATTTATTGCATACGCCATTTTGGCAACTACTGAGCTGGGTGTTGAAAGAAGCGCGCTACTACAACCTCAAAAAACCATGTGAAACTAGAGAACTTCCCTTTCTAACAGTATATTGTTCGATCAAATCGGATTCATAGATGAGTAGCTATGATTTTTCAAAATCGGATGATTCTTTTTGAAACACCCTGTAGTTTGTCACTCGGAACAAATAAATGTGTATTTTAATACTCGCCCTATTCCCAAGCCTCGGTTTCGCCTCGGCAGTTTAACTGGAGCTCCTATTAAAATATCCACTTTTGATCCTAGTGACAAAATATACTATTTCCTCCCTATAGAGTAAAAGCACTACTTTAAACCCGCAACGCAGGAATTAAAAACATCTGTTTTTGCTTCTGTATAACAAAAACATATAGCCTACTTTAGTTATTTTAATGTGAGACTGCACGCTTAACAGTTGCTGTTCTCTAAATCCAGCTTCCAAACAGAAGTTGCCAAAATAATAGTACAGTGTAATGAACTGTTTCGTAAGCCAAAATTCTTTGGCAATGGCATCCCATGCTAGATTCAGTGTGTGTTTTGAGGAGGTCTAAAATGATTAACAATCATGATATTAATATTGTATTTTTATGAACACTATGTTTGATAAACTTTAAATACTTTTCACCACACTATGATGTTTTTGGCTGTATTACATGCGTTAATTGGTCGCTGAAAGTTACGTTTTGCTGGCCATGCCAGCTGTCATCGTAATTTGGGGACCGAGCAGGTTTTTACAGGCCGGGGCCGTAAAATCAGCTGTCCGCTTACTTACTTAATTAATAGTATATTTCGTACCTAGGGCCGAAAATGAGGTTTTGCCGGCTCGAAATAGTTTTTAAGTTCGAGACGAAGTCGAGAACTTAAATCGATCGAGAGCTGCAAAACCATTTCGGTCCGTGGTACGAACGCTATTTTTCACCACACTATACCCTATTACCACTATTCACCACTATTATAATGTACACTGATAGTCAACACAACTACAACTTTAAGGTTATGTGAAGAAATAATCTGAGGAATCAGCAAAAATAAAAATAAATAGTTGCTAGGCACCGGTGACAATAACACAATTCTATTGCGATGCTATGGATTTTGATTGTGTATTTAAAATGCATTCATGTTTTAAGTAAGTAAGTGGACAGCTGATTTTGCGGCCCCGGCCTGTAAAAACCTGCTCGGTCCCCAAATTACGATGACAGCTGGCATGGCCAGCAAAGCGTAACTTTCAGCCACCAATTAACGTATGTATTACAGCCAAAAACATCATAGTGTGGTGAAAAAACATGAATGCATTTTAAATACACAATCAAAATTCATAGCATTGCAATAGAATTGTGTTATTGTCACCGTTGCCTAGCAACTATTTATTTTTATTTTTGCTGATTCCTCAAATTATTTCTTCACATAACCTTAAAGTTCTAGTTGTGTTGACTATCAGTGTACATTATTATAGTGGTGAATAGTGGTAATAGGGTATAGTGTGGTGAAAAATAGCGTTCGTACCACGGACCGAAATGGTTTTGCCGCTCTCGATCGATTTAAGTTCTCGACTTCGTCTCGAACTTAAAAACTATCTCAAGCCGGCAAAACCTCATTTTCGGCCCTAGGTACGAAATATACTATTGTTTTATACTTTATAAAACAAAGTATTTTATACCATATTTATAATTTCAGTTTTTTTCACTAAAATTCATTTTATATACTCAAACAGTATTGTAACACCAAATTACTGTATATATTTGTGGAAGAATGCAAAATGACATTTATTTGCAAAAGAACTTTGCTTGCAAGTTTAAAAAAAATATAAGCTAGTTGGTATAGATATCAACTCTATTGTTTGTAACAGTTCAAGTTTTCAGATATCAAACAACCCGGTAGTTTGATAAAGCTATGTTAGTTTCATTGACCTTGATATGCAGTTTATCAAAATAAAGGTTTATTGACTAATTAAATATTAATAATAGGAAAAATAAAAATAAAAACACATATAACAAACAGACCAAACAGACATACCCGATAAAGATATATTTTACTTGTATAAGCTGGAACAGAATATACTAGTTATGTATTAAACCATTTACATTTACAGTATATTATTTCAGTGTGGAGAGAAGCGCCTTCAGTCTGTAAGCCGCAACACACCTTGCTGAACTGTCAGGATAAACTTGGACACTAAACTGAAGGCGACATTTTAGTTCCGTTATTGTCTGTGACTGTTCACACGGTAAAAGTGTTGACTGAAACACAAATATTTAACAAAGTGGGCCATGTACAAAATGTAAATGCACTGGTTTGAACAACCTTAAAGAATTCTTAACAACTAATTGAATTCAGAGATGTTTGGAGCCCTATGTTCTGGACACTTTTGTAATACAAGTTTCCGAATCGTAATTAGTTGCAATACAATAGTTCCATTATCAGTTGGAGTATTAGGATCAATTTGTAGTCACTCTGGTTTGTATGATATTAGAATTTAGCAATGAGTTCAATTGCTGTTGAGCGTTGTTAATATTAAGAGTGTAAGTAAAACACAAATATTCCCTTTACTTGTGTATAACCATTGACTTTATATCCACACTTTATATCTACTTTATATCTATATTGTGTAGATATAAAGTCAATGGTATAACTAAGTTATAACGTTATAGCCAAACCAAAGATATGTATAGCCTTTGTACAAGGGCTCAAGCTCTGGCTTAAAATGTACTATTTTGCGTTTGTTATCCCTTTAAAGATCAATTCAGTTAGCAAATAAACTTAGTTTGTTTATTTTATATATTAGCATTGCCAATATGAAAAATGATATGTTTACATCAAGTACAACTATTTATTTTAAAATTACAATATATGAAAACTGCAGATGGCAATGTTGTATTTCGACCAGTGTGTTCTTCAGATTGGCTTTCCCAATTCAATTAGACCCTGTTAACCCTTTTAACCTCAGGGGTTATTCGTTGTTATAATTGTGCCTATTTTGATCATTCCCTTATATTATGGCCACATACATTTGTATTCTTATACAACATGGCTCCACTAGGCTCACACCCAAAGATTTGTATAAAAAGTATAAAAACTCCGAATCAAAAGATGGCACGTGTTCTGAGCTATTATTGTTTTTTGGTTGTGTGCGTCTCTGCTAGTGTGACGGGATATTGTAAAAAGATTTCGTATGGAAAAAATGTCCCCACATTATTCATTGCATAGAATAATTATACACCACTTTTTTGGTGTTTATTTATTCGATGCTAATAGTGACAATTTCCCTAAATACAGATTTTAAGTCAATGCTTAGAAGTAAGAAATGGTAAAATCTCTAACCATAAGTGCAAACATAAGTGAGGGACGGGGTCAATTCCCGGCACACCCACAAAATTTAATGGATTTTGACAGCTTTCACGTTAAATATGTACTCAATGTACAAATGTACAAATACTAGCTATGACTTCAATAAAAAAATGACATTGGCTTAGAAAAATAACCCTTAACGGTTTTATTTTTAACTAGCAGTAAATACTTTCAGTATTTTAACTATGTAGTATTTGGGCTATACTAATCTTAAAAACACTCTAAACGATCTGGGACATTTTAGTAAAAATCTTGACGGTGACGGAAGAAGATAGAAAACAAATGAGTTCTGGATTGTTGTTA